TTGCAATGTCTGAAGTCCTCTTAGGGTTGGGTGCCAACAAAACCTCACCCGTTTGTGCCTCTCCGTGAGCTGCAATGTGTATTAAGGCGACAGAGTTTAGATGTTGAAGCACTACCGCTTTTGTCGCTTCTTCACCGATAAGGGGTTTAATACCGGTCCATCTTCCGATCAATATCACTTCCTGTCTTGCATCGGGAAGTGATTCTATCTCATGGGGTTTACCGCGGAGTAGAATTTCCCCGTTGAAAGTATCTCCCACAAGTAGACCATCACTATTACGGTGATAGTCCTGAGGAGAATCAGCGATTATTTTCATACTCGTCAGCGACGGAAAGAGTCGATTTCTAAACAGTTCGAAAAAGTACTTCGACTGAATAGATTCCCTGAGTGCGGTAAAGGGAACAAAGTACAAAGGACCATCAGGGACAATGACAAGTTCTTCTCCCTGCAAGAAGTCTGATATTTCACCAAAAATTAAGCGGTGAATTAAAAATAAGGATGATGAAAGATCCAAGATTTCCTTGTCATCATTACTTGATGATATAGCAAGCGATCTTGTTCCACTAATTGCTTTCCAAAAGGCTTCAACATCTTGAGCACTATCTATTGTCCTCTTGACAAACTGAACATTTCGTCCGAATTTCGCGGGAAGAAGCAGCTAGATGTATATTTTGTCGCCATCAAGTCGCAATAAAACTGTGTCCAATTAAATGTATCATTCATCAATGCTACCTGTGTCACCATTGGATAAGAAAGTAATTGCATGCTTGACTAGCTCTTTATTGGTCAAAGCAATCGGTGGTTTGCCACCACGATTTACGTGAAGCAATTTTCATGCAATTTATTTCTTCTTTATAAGTAAAAGTTACCTAGGTTCCTTTGTAAAACGTGGTTGAAAGTTCATTTCGAAGTAGCAATGTTCAAAGCATTCATGTTCTTTCAAGGACTTACGATTTGCAAGAGTATTCTAGCACCCAAGACGGAGTGTATATTTTGCAGACTTCATACTGAATTGTTTTGCCGCCGTTTCTTAGGTATATTCGCAAATTAGTGTTTCAACAATTCAACTCATAGCTTACGTTTTGAATCGATAATCTTGATTCTTCTGCCAAGAAATCCAACTTGACGTCTTCTCCAATCAGATGAAAGGCAGCCCAATCCTTCACATAATCTTGATGCTCCCTAACATGTTTTACGGCATGATTGAGTGCTTTGCTCGCTTTATTTCCAGCAACTAATTGTTCATAAAAATATTTCATCAACTCCAGAGTGACCTGGTCATCAATTTCCCATAATGCCACTAAAACACAACGTGCGCCTGCCGCCAAAAAGCCCCGTGCGATGCCAACGGCACCTTCTGCCTTTATCTTTCCTTGTGCACTATGGCAGCAGCTTAACACTACCATTCTTGCTTGTAACTGAAGAGCAGTCAAATCAGCCATTGTTAACATGTAGTCCTCCACTCTTGGTTCTTGCGATTCTCTTATTGGGTTTGGTGTCAACAAGATTTCCCCATTTTCGTCACCACCTTGCGCAGCAATGTGTACTAAAGAGGCAACCTTAAGGCGCTGCAACACTTCTTCTTTTGTAGCATCTTTTCCAATAAGGGGCTCACTTTTAAGAATTCTGCCTATATTCTTGACTTCATATTCAGCTCCTGGGAGATCCCAGTGCCACGGCTGTTCGGTAACAATCTCTGCAAGGTTCGGATTACCAACGAGAAGTACGCCTCTTTTGCTATTGAACCTTGGAGAACCCGCAATCAATTTAAAACTCTTTAGTGAAGGAACTAATCGTATTCTGTAAGATTCACACAGGTATCTATCATGTGAGTCGATGAATGCTGTAAAAGGTGCTTTACAAAGCGGGCCATCCGGGACAATAATTACTTCATCTCCGGAGAGCAGGTCTTCTACAGGTCTTATCACGACATTGTATAACATTTTCAGTGCTTCTTTCATCGATTCGTCTCGTTCTCGTCTGATTACTTCTGCCTTTATAGCACAACCCTCCGACAACGAATGAACTTCATTTTCAAGGAGAGGATAAGCCGCTTGTACCAAAGAATCAAATGTCAAGTTAAGTTCCTGTCCCAGAGCTCGAGACCGCTCATCAATTTCACTTTCTCTTACCTGAACATCATTTCCATTAAGTACCCAGATAGTAATGTTTTTCTTCTCAATTGCTAAAAAGAGTGTGACACAAGAAAGACTGGAAAGCAGGCTGGGAAAACGGTCCAAATGATCGATTTCAGAACAATAGCTCTCAGAAGGTAACTTCAGAAGATCTACCAAGGCTTGGGCGCGTCCTTCCTCAGCAACTAGGAGAGCATCCTTAGTTTTCTTTTGTTCTAAAAGAGTTCTCCATAAAGCGACAATTACAAGTTTGTATTCATCTTGAATATTTATTACCCACTCATCGTTCGAATGACTTTGCTTTCGTAGGTTATCAAATGTTTTTTTACTAAGTCGAAGCCATCTCTCAGCTCTGTCTAGGCTTCCCAGAGATTCAAAGCAGCAGCCTATCGCGTAACATGCCTTTCCTTCTTCAGCGCAGTTCTTAGCTTCTCTTGCAATGTCTAGACTCTTCTCGTGGTATGTTATGGCCTCCTGGAATTCCCCCAAGCTGAAATAGACATCTCCAAGGTTGCCATATGCAATACCTTCACTCTCTTTGTCTCCTAACTCTTTGGCCAACTTCAAGTCTTTTCTATGATATTTGATGGCATTTTCAAACCTACCGTTATGGTAATGGCAGTTGCCAAGATAACGTTTCGCTTTCCCGATTTCTGTCTTGTCACCTATCTCTTCGGCAATGTACACAGCGCATTTATACTACATCGCGGCAAACTTGAAATTTGCGATCTTGAAATAAAGATGACCGAGATTTTCACAAGCTTGACGTTCCTCAACTCTCTCTCCAGTTTCTTTAGCTATTTCGAGCTGTTGTTCATAG